TGATTAACGTTCACCTGACCGCTAACGGAACTCATCTGTCCCGCTCTGCCTTATTACCAGACACTAAATGAGGTAACCGAAATACCATACGGGTCAGTTGTGGCAGGCTCTATGGCGGTTTCGTTTGAGTCTGCGCACAATGTTTACTTTAACCTGCGCTCTGTTGATCGTTCACTTAAGTGTTATGCTTTACTCTACTCGAGTGTGATGTGAGTGTGTGGTACAACTTGACCTTTGTTTATTTGCATACGCTGCTCGAGGTACGCTCTTTGGTGCATTGGTTCAAAGTTTTACTGCATGTCCTTGCTTATTGCAAGGGTAGTTGGCTCCCTGTCCTGCAATAACATTCTCGAACCAACCTCTGCAAATGGCTCTTGCGCTCGACATTTGCCATGAACGACGACTACATGCAATGCGTGTCCGACAAAGAGGACGCTACACTGGTGCCTTGCGAATGAAGGATTCGTTTGTACTGGTGTAAAGAATAGTAGCACTCTGTGGCACTCTTTCCTTCCTCATCCAGTAGGTTCTGATGTTAAAACAAAGTCACGATGACTGGAGGTGAGTCCCCGAGTGCAGTCTACGCACGACCTGATCACCACTGTATGTAACAGACCTTCTCGGGGTCCACACGGATCCTCATATCAGTAAGAATGTCACGGAGGACCAAATTAGGAGGGTGTCACTGGACTTAGGCTTCAGTCCTCCAGTCAGCAACTCCACACACACAATACTGATCAGGAGAACCGTATTATTCTCACAACTAATTTACCTCCTAGATCGGCCCGCGAAAACCCCATCTTTCTGCAATACGGGACCGGGTCTAGTAAGGGTTATGCAGTCTGGACAATACAGAGGAAAGTAAACATAAAAAAATTAAAATTAATAAAAGTAGAAAAGCCAGGAATAATTATTCAAATAATCAAGAATCAATAAATATTATTTATATTTAAATGAAGAACATAGTTTTTCTTTATTTAAATAATCAGGAAAAGCGTGCCATATTTAAAATGTGCAACCAAGCAAATATTGGGAACTAACGAACCTAAAAGTTAACTGACTAAAAAGATAAACTAAAATAAGCTAAACTGACTTAACCAAAGGTAATCTAAAATAAAAATAGTAGAATATAATAATGAACTGAAAACTAACCTTATAACAGAATTGCAATACACATAAGTAGTGACGGTGTTAATTCGAAGAGTAACCGCATGTGGCTAACAAATCTAAAAATAAACTTAAAAAGTGAACTAAGACCCAAGTAAACTAACTAAGCAAAGGTAGTATACAATAAACTAAACTAAAAAGGAAAATAAACCTCTAATGAACCTAATAAAAGTCAATAACAAACTAAAAAGAAAACTAAGCTCTAAGTAAGTAATACCTGTAAGTAAGTAAATTTTTCTGTTTATTTTTTGGCGCGCTTTTTGTTGCGAGCACATATTATTTAAACCATTTCTGGGAGGTAAACTAGATCTCTATCCTAGTTTAGTATACTTAACCAAACATATCGCACATATTTTTGTGTCGCGCCATGTTGGTGCCCATTATTAGTCTGTGGACAGGTAGGTCGACTGAGTAATCTTGTCTTATAGACTGCCCGATTGAACACGCCGTACTTACTTCTTTAGAGCACTTGCTACTGCCCCAAACTCAGTGCGCCTTCTTTTTCCCCGTGTTTTCAGGCGAGGCCTTTATTAGCATCCCTGGCCGGTTACCTTGGACCAAACACTGGTGTGTCCTGCGTGCCTCCGTCCTGGAAATCTACCTCTGCAGTAGCTGTCCGGCCACGGAGCCGGACCGAATCACCTCCCA